TATGAAATCAGATCTGAAAGAATACCTTGAATTACTTGCTTGATACTTCTTCTTCTTGGAGCTTAGAGTCACAATTGTCACTCCTCTAATGGCTTACAAACACCAACTAGCAAGAAGATGATCTTGAGAGAGAGGGAGGAGGGATAGAAATCGGCCCTAGGGTTCCTTGGCTTGCAAGAGTGCCGATTTCTCCACCCCAAGGGTTCTATTTATACTATGAGCTATTAGGGTTTCTCCTTTAACCCTAATTGAATGACTTAGGCCCTAAGCAATCCAAGATCCTTCTAGATACAAGGCTTGGACGAATTTAAGGTTCCCAAACCCTAAATTTCGTCCACCCCAATATCCATAAGGATACATAGCCCAAAATACAACTATCACACATTTGACAGTTTATGCCCTTTATTCAATTAACCTCTTTAAGTCACCAAATTAATTCTCAATTAATATATGACTTATATTAATCAATTAATATTATTATTCCTTAAATATATATTATTCTCATAATATATTAATAATATCTCTTCTCTCTTAACAAATCATCCTGTCAAGTTGCTATGGTGAAGGCAACCCAAAAGGACCATGCATAACCGGGTCAAGTACTTACCAAATATAGTTACAGCCTTAGACACTAATCCAACAATTTCTGAAATCCTTACCGAGAACAAAGTTCATACACATCGTTGCCTTCCTTGAGAAGGTCTTGGATCTGAAGATTGTGGGCTTCGAGGATGTCATCAGAAGCTTAAAGGTGTACGAAGAGAGGTTTTCATGGTGGATCGAAAGGAAATGGGACGACAAAAGGGTTTACTGGGGCAAGCGGGTCTAAACAGTCGAACCCGACCTCGCATGGTGGTAAACCCAATTCCGATTCTTACCGGCCTAATTCCAATTCTAATTTGGAACCGAACAAAAATACAAATAAAAAGGACTGATCCAAAGTTATTTGTTATCGGTGCGATGAACCAGACCACTTCGCATCTCAATGTCCAGACCGAATCTAAAAAATTGCAAGAAAGTAATTTTACCGAAAGTGACGATAATGATGCGACCGTATTTTTACACGAGACCGTGTTCTTAAATGAAGAAAAAGTGATATCGTCTTGATACGACTCACAAGATAACGATTTATGGTATTTAGATGACAGGGCAAGTAATCGTATGACGGGAAATCGGTCATTTTTCTCCGAACTTGATGAAGGCATAACCAGGAGGGTGAAATTCGAAGATAATTCATGTGTAAAAATCAAAGGAGAAGGTGTTATACTTTTCCAAGGGAAGAAGGGTCAACAAAAGTTGATGATGGAGATTTACTACATACCAGATCTCAAGAACAACATCATTAACCTCGGTCAAGCAACAGAAGTCGGGTGTGACATCCGGATGAAAGACAACTACCTCACCATGCACGATGCTGACAACTGTTTACTCATGAAGGTACAATGAACTCCAAACCACATTTATAAAATAAAATTACAAATTGGAGTACCTATTTGCCTTCATTCGAAACTAAGTGAAGATACGTTGCGATGACATGCGAGACTTGGACATATAAATTTTGAGTCAATGAAAAAGATGACCAAGAATGATCTAGTCAATGGTTTACCCCAATTTGATCATGAGAATCAATTGTGTGAATCTTGCTTGGTGGGCAAGCAAACATAAAAGTCATTCCCGGCTATGACGACATACAAAGCAAAACGACCATTGGAACTTGTTCATGGTGATCTTTGTGGTCTGATCACACCGGCTACCAAAGGTCAAAAGCGGTATGTTTTCACACTAATTGATGACTTTTCATGATATATGTGGATTTATCTCATAAAGAAAAGAGTGAGGCATTTACACACTTCAAAAAGTTCAAAGCTTTGGCGGAGAATGAAATTGGAAAGTCATTGAAAGTTTATAGAAGTGATCAAGGAGGTGAGTTTACTTCTCTCGAGTTCAACATTTTTTGTGATCAAAACGGAGTCAAACGCCACCTTATCGTCCCATATTCACCACAACAAAACAGAATTGTGGAACGAAGAAACCGAACACTTATGGACATGACACGAAGAATAATGAAGGCAATGCATGTTCCAAACTATTTATGGGGAGAAGCGGTAAATCACTCTAAAAATCTAACTAATTGCGTTTACACATGAGTCCTTGATGATACAACTTCATACAAAAGGTTGTATAAAAGAAAACCAAATTTAGAAAATGTTTGTATATTTGGGTGTCTAGCCCATGCAAAAGTTGAACCGGTAAATCTCAAGAAGTTGGATGCAAGATCAAGACCACTAGTACATGTTGGTTCCGAATCGGGTACAAAAGCATATCGACTATATAACCCAATGACACAAAAAGTAATTATGAGTCGAGACGTTATTTTTGATGAAACCAAATGGTGAGATTGACATAAAGAAACAAGAACCAACAATGAAGATCCAAGCTCATTCATAATACCATGGGACTACCCGGAAGATAAGGTGAAAAACAACCAAGGAAACAATGTAAATGATGGTCCAATTGAACCAATTAAATCGGATCACGAGTTCGAAGACAGAGCCAATATACAAGAAAGTAAACAACCTAGTCCGGTCAACAATAACGTGAACAATGTTCAACCAAAGGCCTACAAGACCAAGGGTGCGTCCAGTTCGATTGCAACACTATGATCTTGATCTTGATAATCTTGAAGAACTTCTCCTAGCAACCAATGACGAGCCGATATCGGTTGAAGAGGCGAAGAAAGAATCTGAGTGGGTCAAAGCCATGAATGCGGAAATCAATTCGATAAACAAAAATAATACTTGGACCCTAGTAGAGAATCCTACGGGGATGAAGCCAATCGAAGTTAAATGGGTGTTCAAATTAAAGAAAAATTTAGACGAAACCATTAATAAATACAAGCCAAGGTTGGTTGCTAAAGGTTACGTGCAATAACCCGATATTGATTTTCAAGAAATATTTGCTCCGGTAGCTCGAATCGAAACCATCCATTTTCTTATAGCCTTAGCCGCTACTAATGGGTAGGAGCTTCACCACTTAGATGTTAAAACGACATTCTTGCATGGCGAATTGAAAGAAACGGTTTACGTGTCACAACTGGAAGGCTATATAAAGAAAGGCAACGAGCATATAGTGTATCGCCTTACAAAAGCACTATATGGTCTAAGACAAACACCTAGAGCATGGAACACGAAGCTTGATGGGATTTTGAAGAGTATGAAATTTCAAAAGTGCATGAAAGAACCATTGGTGTACCGGAAAATGAAGAAACTAACGTGTTGATTTTAGCAATTTATGTCGATGACTTATTTGTCATAGGTACAATTTTGAGCATGATTAAAAGATTCAAGATGGAGATGTCAAAGAATTTCAAAATGTCGGATCTTGGAAGATTAACTTACTACATTGGCATTGAAGTTAAACAAGAAGAATCGGGGATTACTATAAGTTAAGAAGTGTATGCTCGACATATTCTAAAAGAAGTTGGTTTACATGATTGCATTCCGACCCACATTCCAATGGAACCGGGAAATAACTTTTCGAAGGCCGAAGATGAACAGAAAATCGACCCAACACAATATCGGAAGGTGGTAGGATGCCTTAGATATCTCTTGAAAACAAGACCCGGTATGGTATATGCAGTTGGAGTTATTAGCCGATACATGCAAAGTCCAAGAGAATCACATTGTGATGCAATCAAACACATCCTAAGGTACTTACGAGGAACAACGGGACACAAAATCATGTATGAGAGAATGAGACAAAAACGACTCATAGGTTATAGTGATAGTAGTCACAATATTGACCCGGATGACAGAAAAAGCACAACCGGTTATATATTCTACTATGGGTCATCCCCGATAACATGGTATTCGCAAAAGCAAGATACCGTTGCTTTATCATCTTGCGAGGCGGAGTTCATGGCAGCCACCAGAACTGCATGTTAAGCAATATGGCTTCAAGATTTGCTAGGAGAACTCATAAACAAAGCTCAAGAGAAGGTGGTTTTAAGAATTGATAACAAGTCAACTATCGAACTAACAAAAAATCCTGTTTTTCATGGAAGGAATAAATACATCAACACAAGGTTTCACTTCATTCGTAATTGTGTTGAGAACGAACAAGTGGATGTGGAGTACATTCCTGGTGAAGAACAAAAGGCAGACATCCTTACTAAACCACTAGCTCGAGTGAAGTTCAAGGAGACGAAGAGCTTGATCGGGATCAAAGCCATTTCTAAGGCAACTTAGAGATTCGGGGGTGATTGTTGGAATCCTAAGTCGGTGAGGATCTTGGAGGCGAAGCAATCGAGTTTATGGCAAGTCGGTCATAGTTTCCTAGTCTAAATATACAAGTCGGTATGTTAGGCTCTATAAATACAATGTCTAAATCGAATTAAGGATTAAGAGAGATAGATTGTAATCAATTTAAGTTTTGAGTTATTTTCCTATTAATCAAAGAGCAATTTGGTTAAATATTGTTTGCATTCTCGTTTCTTAAACTTGATTCAACTACATATCATGTATAATATTATGCATCTAATGTATTAATTTGTGCATAGTATAAATTCCATTCGATACTTGGATTTTCATGTACAAGCATTTGAATAAAATGTTCTACTTTGTGCAATTGCATGTGTTTTATCTTTCTACCTTGAGTCAATATCATAAAAAAGCCGCAAATAGCTCGAGTTTTAATAGCGTTAAGCCAAGTTTAAACTCTGACTTGGTAACTTAACGAGTCATTCTTTTGTAAATTTAAGCTTGCTTACATAGAAATTAGTTAAAGCCGGATTCAACAGTAGTAGCTCAAATACAGCTATTGGAACTATGTTTAACAAGTCAATCTTGATTCAAATGCTTGAATAATATGAAAATATCCGAAGGTTCAATAAAATACGCTTGATAAAATATCCATAACTATCGTGTAGGGACTAAACTTTCATACTTGTAAATTCAAGGGCTAAAATTATTAATTATTTTAAAAGTTCTTCCAGTCCGGTTTTCTGAGCTAGAGAACATTATAGCGAGCTGAATAGAGACCTTCGAAGGTCCATCAATGGCGGAAATCTCTGAAACCATGGGAACTGAATTGTCGCCATCAGAAGAAGATAGAAAGGAGAACTCGGAGACATTGATATTCGACCATAAAACCATGCGAAAGACAAAACCTGGATTGAAGCGTCTGGCACTAACCCTATCTGTTTTCTTCTCCTTCCTGTTGGGTATCTCTCTTACTCTATTTGTACATATAGGTATCATATGGATTCACTTAAACTCTATTTGTACAAGCGCATTATTGATGATTTGTTTTGGATATGTCATAATAGGTTTACCATGGTTGCTTAAATCGATAGAGATCTATCGATCACCACTTCCGTTTCGCGATATAGTATCACTATCAAACGCAATTGATTCAAAACCGTTCTTATATCCGTGTAAATTCCACGTAGTGTTCGTAAATCTCGATCACAGTACTCCAGTTAAGTCAAACGCTGAAAAGTTAGGGTTTTTGGTTACCAATCACATGTTACGATTTGCTGATCGGAATTCCGTTTGTGGTACTTGTGAAAACAATTACACAGTCTCAATGAGCTTAGACTCCGGCAATGATTGTGTAGAATATGGCGACGTTGATCAAGAGAGGGCATGGAGATGTGGAGCACTAAGCAAGTTGAATCATGATGAGACCTTGAAGAACGAAGACAATTTTGATGATTATTTGGAATCTGTTGTAGGAAGGAACAGGGTTTACACTGTTGTAGTTGTGAACACTGGTGAAGGGGATAGGATTAGATCAGTGGTGGGGAAGTATCGACATGCTTGGATTGTAGGTAGGGTTTCAGAGATGAATGTGCTCGCAGAGAAAGTAGCTGAAATTTTCATCAAGATATTTGTGAATGGTCTGAAAGAAGAAGAGAGTATCCAAGGGGAGTTTATGCCTGCTGGTGCTGATGGGAAAATCGTGCTTTCTTTCAATTTGTTGAATGCTGATCCAAGCGATTGGATTTATGATTGGTATGAAAGATTTTCTTGATTTCTTACTTTTTAGATCCCACATATGTATATGCAATTATGCATCACATTCTTATTTGATCCCACATATGGTACTAAAATATCTGATTCTATATGAAGGGATTTTCAGGAGGTAGATGAGAAACTTTTAGCCCCTACACTTGAAGCATTGGGCCCTATAGCAAATATAAGTGTGGAAAGTCAGGTTCTGTATCACACTCCAAAATCTTCATATTCTTATTGGGATGCTGAACAGGAGAGCCATGTCTTTAGCACCAAAGATCTTCCATTCTTTGTAAGTTGATAAGTAATTAATTACTTTCTAACAGAAGATTATTATTACTATGGTGTGTGATTAGAGGTTTTTTAAGCTATGTTTGTGTAAGTTTTGTAGGTGAATTCAAATGAATGGCACCTGGATACTTCCATTGCAGCTGGTGGGAGATCAAAGATTTTGCAATTTGTGGTGTATATTCTTTAACTCAATAACACCTTTATTCTTATGACTATTTACGAAGAAGTAAAAAAGAGTTTGCAATTTATGGTGTTATTAATTGATATCTTGATGTGTGTATTGTGTGTGTTTGCACTTAATTTCAGATATATACCATCTGCCAATGAATGCCCACTCAGGTTACAGCTTCCAAATGGAGAGATTTCAGTGACAAATGGCTTTATATCTCCGGTGAACTTCTATGTTTACATTTACTTTTCTTACCAATAAATACATTTGGGATCTTGATTTCATGATAAATGTGTTACATATTGCAGACATGGGGTGGTGTTGTAATTTTGAATCCTCCCAACTGCTTGGAAAATACCAATACCAATAGCATGCACCCTCTCATACGTAAAGTTTCTCCCCAGGTTATAAACAAATATGCACTCTTACAAATCTTCCAAATTGAGAAGTTTTATATATATATTTTGTGATGTGACAAGTATTGATGATGAATCTGAATCTGAAACAGGAAGTTAACCAAATATTTGAAGTTTTCATGGGACAGCTTCGACAATTATTTGGTTTAAAATCAAGTGGTTTCCACAAGGGTACATCAGGAACATCTCTTCTTTTAGCCAGTGAGAGAGGCTTTACAGAATGGTATTAATTTGTATCATTTATACTTTTTATCCCAGCCATCATTTTTGAAGTCAAATTATTTATCTAATTTTTTTTTTTACTTATGAATTCAGGGAACTAGATGTGTTGGCTCGTCAACATGCATGCTATAATCTTCGCCAATGTGGCGCAACACTTGGGTCACTTTCAAGATTGGTATTTTTCAGATTATTTTAATAATAATAATAATAACTTGAATCAGAAATTTTGACTGAAAAAGTTGTCCAATCTCAATGCAGGTCCAGTCACTACCAAGAATGATCATCAAGGATGAGATTGGAAAACAGGTTCCTTACTTAATACAGAAAGATCGACTTAATAATAATTAATACAGAAACAACTTTCTTACAACTTGGCTTTTGCAGGTGAAGTTTTCTCTCGAGGCTGCAAAGTTAGCTCAGAGTAATGCATCACAAGGCATTTATGATGCCTCAGCTGGTATTATTGTTGAATTTGTATATATATATATATATATATATATATATATATATATATATATATATATATATATATGTTTTTGTTAATGATTTATGTGGTATTTTTGGCAGTTTCCTCGAGGCATGCAAGATCATTGGCTGAGGATGCCTTCTTTCACCCATCTGTAATGTCTGTCAGTTACTACTCATTTGAGCACAATTTTGCTGTCTACTCGGTTAGTTTCTTTCTTTCCTTGTTAAACAGTAAACACCACACATGATGCGAGACTTGTTATAGTTATGTTAATTGGTAAATGGTAACTATGAAATAAAAATTCATAAAATAATATTTTGTGCGTATTTGCATTGCAGCCTTTCTTTCTGCCACTTTCACTACATGTGATTCTTGCGGTTGTGAGGGAGATGAAAAGATACAAACAAGAAACCCGAAAGTATACAGCTTGGAAAGCTGCAAGAAAACCAGAATTCTGAAGATGTAGACCAATTACCTCTTGTATTCCAAATGTTTTTTTAATACAAATTCGGACTTTAATTAGATTTCATACGGATTAATGGTTGATGGTGAAAAAAAAAAAAAGTTTTTTGTTCATTCTTTAACAAGTGTTGTATGATGGTTTGTTCATGATTAAGTATTGAGGTTTTGCAATTCCTATTTCTCTCATTTGTTCTTTTGTTCATGGTTTATTCTAGATTTTTCTTTTCTTAATCAAGTTATATGACCGCTCATTTAAATTATTGTTGCTTAAGTGGCTACCAATTAACAAAACTACATGTAATTCTTTCTCATTAGATGAGCATGAAAATGAGGTAAGATTGATTTCCTTCATGTCCATTATAACATGATGCAAGAGGAATTGAACTTGTTTAGGTAGCAGATTCATTGGTTACAAGATACCATCTTAAATGTTGTATAAGTCAATCCAATCTTCATAAATTCAACCTCAACTTTTCTAACATAAATTAAAAGAGCCTCAAAACTCTCTTCACTTTGATATAATCATCTTGTACATCAAAGAAATCTTGAAAGCTCATTTTTAAGTAATATAGGTTACAAAATTTTCTTGTATTTTTATTTATGTTTATGCACGTGTGGCTCTTCTTTAACAATGATTGGACACAACAGCAGAGCAAGTGTAATCGAGTGAAAGTGTGTTGCTATTTATTGTATTTTTACAAAAATAGTGGTCACCTTGAAATGTTTACCCAATTATAGGATTTTTTTTCTTCTCATTAAGCCATTCTGCTTTTGAAAAACTCACCCGATAATAACATTCTACTTTACCGAAATATAGCATTGTTTTTTCATTTTGTGTGTTGTGTCTCTAAAACGACAATTTTAATTAGAAGCCCGAACTAGTAAATCTACATGAGCAGTAGTTGTAACTAAAACTTAAAACACAACAAATTGAAAGGAAAATAAACGATGGGTAATCTAAAATCGGATGGGTAGGTAGATAATTGTCATCATCAATCTTCAACACATAAAGAGAGGATGGATATGATGTCATTTTCATACTAACATCAAACCTACTAAACAGACACCATGATATTACAATTTACAAACTTCCCTCATTACTCTTCATTAAAATCTGTGCACATTCACAAGCAAGCAGAACTTGCTTACTCCACATTATTTCCTTCTTCCTGTCAATAAATAAATTCACATTATATAATCATTACATGTTTGTTGTTTTAACATATAAAGCAAAGTAAAACAAAAAAAAAAAATTCTACCTTCTTTAGTGTGGGTTTATTTTTGTGTCCAAAGAAGTAAACACTTCCATTTCTGAGGTTGTGACTTATTTTGAAGTCTTTGACAAATGTCAAGCAAAAACGTTCTTCTGACAGCAACTTAGGATCAAGAGTTGCAAGTACTTGTTTTTTTTTATTGATAGTAAAATAAATAATAACAGGCTCCTGTGCTTCTTCACCAAGCGAAGCCCGAGAAAGATGCAGAAAACTGGATTCCCCAAGCTTTACATCAAACGCTTGACCTCCTTTGACCGCAGCACCTGAATCAATCAATCAATGTAAACCTTATACACCAAGCATCTATTATCCAGATCAAACATAAACAAACCAATAAAACCATGAATATCATCAAGGTAAATCAGAGCGAAGATTTGCCTCATTATCAAAACCAAAAGAAGCTCCAAATTTTCATCAAAACAGATAAAGAAATAGAAACAAAGAGAGATGATTTGTTACCCCAAAACTCCATTGTTGCAGAGGGAGGAAAACCCAACACCAACACCAACACCAACACCCACCCTTTCAATGATAACTAGGAGGTGCAACCGTGCTTGCAGGTGTAAGCCTCTTAGTTTTACTCTAAGCAACACCTTTCATTGTAAAAATAATATTAAGGTTTATACTTATAGACATTATAAATAATCAGAAAACCCTTAAAAACCACACATTCAACCACAAATCATATTATGTTGACACTAAATAAAGCATACTAATTATTTTCACATCTAAACACACCTTTCATCACGCAAATGTAGCATCTATTCACTACACTTGGATTGGAGTCGATTCAATTTATAATTTCAAGCTTTTTATCGCCCAAATCCAACACACATTCGCTAAATTCCACTCATGCAGTTCAGATTACCCAAATAGCAACCAGATACATATCAAGGCATTTTCATTTTTTCAAAATTATGCAAAATAAAGATTCAAATGGAGATAAACCCTAATTAGGACAACCCCAAATTAAAATCGGCGCATAAATTTTGTAAAGAGAGGGGGAATCAAAATTCGCATTCAACTTGTTCAGGTAATGGAAATTACGATTGCAAATTAAAAATTACAATGAAAAACCGGTGGACTTACTATATAGGACAGAGAGGACTTACTGGAGGGAGCCGGTGGACAGGAGGCAAAACGGAGAAGAAAGCCGGTGGAGAAGAGCAGAGAAGAGGTGTGGTAGACTGGTAGTACCCGTACAGGGTGGTGAAACGTCACAGCATCAACAAGGGTTTTATGCAGAAAGAATAGGGTATTACCTATTAGTGTCATCCTTTCTAATATATATATTTTTTTTATTTTTTATTTTTTTATTATTATTATTATTTTTTTTTTTTGTCATTTGTCAATCTTTCATGAGTTTTGACCCTTGTCATTTTGTGGTATTTTTGAAATAAATATTATCCACTTATCAATTTCTGGTTTGTTTTAATTTTTAAAATTAAAGTCATATATTTATATATGTAAAGTATTAATTAAATATAAATATATATAAAATTAAATTGCAATGAATACATTTCTTCCATTCTTATTTTAAAGTTTTACATTAAAAAATATTTACTGCTTGCAGTTTAATGTTTATTTTTTTTAAAAATTAACATGTATAATATACGAGTCTCACACCTAGTTATTTTATAAAATGCTAAAAGTCTAATTATTTAATATTTTGTTCAAATTAACTAAAACTTTTTTTTATTTGACGTGAAATAACAAATTATGTGATTTTTCAAAATAATAGAGCTTTTTTTTTTTTAAAAAATGACTATCGAAAAATTTCCTAAAATAATGAGATTTTTCTGTATAAAACCTCATCAACAAATGTGTTTACCTACCAAAGGGCTTCTAGCCCAGCGATATCGGGTGTTGCCCTCCTTCCTAGAGGTTGAGGGTGCAAGTCTCATTGGAGACATAGGTGATATTAGGAGGTGGTATTAGGAGTAATGTAGATTTGTCGTTCTAAAAAAAAAGTGTTTACCTAAGTTATTTATGGGCCCGACCCATGAGGGTGGGCAACCGGGCGACGTCCCAGTGCCCATTGTTGGACTGGGCCCAAAATGAAGCTTTGTATATATATATATATATATATATATATATATATATATATATATATATATATATATACTAGCCGTTACCCGCGCCAAGCGTCGGGTGCAAATAGTTTTTTCATAAATTAGGTTGTAGAGGCGATTAGTTTTTTGCGCAAATAATTTACTATATCTAAACAATTATCAAAAAGAATTAAAAAAATGAAAAATTGGGATTGTTTATAAATGTACATGAACACATGATTGATTGTGAATTATTAATCGTGCAACACTTTTTATACACCACAGTTGATATATAGACACTTCCGTTAAATTGTTCGTTAGGGTTCACTAATACTTTTGTTTTGGCATGTGATATTTTCTGGATAGTGCCACATAAAGTTGTGGTCATGTGAGAAAACCAATTCTAAAAGTTAAATACCGACTTTTGGAATTGTTTGTCCATAAGCTTTATTGATTGTCATCGCGAAACATAGTCAAATTGGAATTTTTTTTTATCTTCTATAATTAGTTCTCTTCACTTATACTTTTGTATTTGAATCTATTTTCGTTTCAGATGACAATGATTAGTTTCAATAACGATTAATTTGTTTTAGGAAACATGTCCTGCTAAAAGTTAAGGAAACATGTCATATTAAAAATAAGATGGAATGTATAGCAAATATAACTAAGAATTAGTTTAAATTCATCAATTTGTTTTCTTTTCAACGGAAAATGTATTCTTTAACTTGTACAACTTAATTTGAAGTAAAATAATAAAAGTAGATTGTTGTTTTGGAGTTAAAAATAAAGGTATATTGTTGTTTTGTGTTAAAAGAAAATAAAAAGACATTGATGTTTTGAAGAAAAAAATATCCTTAATTTGGGTTGAAAAAATATGTTGATGTTTTTGACTAAAAATAAAATAAACTGAATGAGAATAATAAAAAAATGTAAGTTCTAACAATATTTTAATAATAAAATATAACAATTTAGAGGATAGAAAGGAGAAAATAAACTATATTAAAGATAAAACAAAATATATAAAAAGTAAAACAATTATACTTTTAGATAGAAAAATCTTCGGAAGAGTCCTAATATTTCACCATAATTTACGAAAAAGTCCCAAACTAAAATCAGTTTATGAAAAAGTCCCGATTACCAGAAAAAATGACTATTTGACCATTTTTTTTCGGTTTATCGGTTTAAATACTTACCTTGTTTCATTAAAGTTCTATTATTTTACCATAATTTTCATTAAAGTCCCATTATTTTACCATAATTTGGGACTTATTCGTAAATTATGGTAAAATAATAGGACTTTATTAAAACCGGGTAAATAATGAAACCGGTAAACTGGGAAAATATGGCCAAATCGTCGTTTTTACCGGTAATTGGGACATTTTTGTAAACAAATTTTAATTTGGGACTTTTTCGTAAATTATGGTAAAATATTTGGACTTTTCCGGAGATTTCCCCTTTTAGATATGCTAGAATAATAATTATTAAAAACGAAACCATGGGGTTTTAGGGTTTCTCTAAAACCGTTGGACCATTTATGTAATATATGAAAAAATATAAATTTTTTTTTTGAAGATAGTAAAAATAACAAAATAACAAAAACATCAACTATTAAAAAAAATAAAACATAATGAACATATATTATTTTTATCGTATTTTATTTTTATTACATATGTGATAAGTTTTACATCTTTATACGTCAAAAAAGATTATTTGCATTGTTATTGTTTTACTTTTTGTTTATGTATGTCATTATAGAAGTATGACAAGGTATTGTGTTTGTTATATCATACGAATCCATATTACTCAACAGTTTTACATATCTATGTACTATGTAGATAGTTGATATACATTGATTCTTGTCACTTTTTGAATTATATTTTAAACGTGTTTATAAGATCAAGAAAGAACGACAGGAAGGTGATAACTAAAGAAGAAAAAAGTCAAAAATAAGAAGAATCAACTTTAATGGATTTGGAAGCAGGGCGAGAATAACATTGAAACATCATGGATTTGGTAGGAAGGTTTACCCAAACATGTGAAATTTAATAATCTTTGTATAACAACAACTCCAAATTAACTGCATAGTTTCTAGGGAACTTTTTTTCCCATAAAAATCAACATAATAAACTTTGATAAAAATCCAAATTCACAATGGTCAAATTACACATCTACGGTAGATTCTGGTTATGAATACTTGATTCCTAAGCCAAGATTTTAAGCATAACATCACTTATTATAAGACCCAGAATCCCAATTCTTTGTAGACGAAAAGAAAACAAAAAGGCATATATATTACTTAAGGGTTGGGAAATGAATGTGTTTTGTATGTTGCAGACTTGCAGCCATTGTCATATAATTGGACTGCCATACACAAATCTACAACATATGAAAGACTTATAGATCCTTTAGTTGAAGGTCGATAAAAACATTATAGACCCTGTGAATTAATTATGGTGCAAGAACCTGCAGATTCATTCCAACAATCAATAGAACTAATATAGATGACATATGTGTAAATATTAGTAACTGGAAGGTAAACCGACAGTCTTGACAAGCCTCTCAGTGTTCCAAATGAACTTGGTAAGTTCCCATTAAGTTTGTTGTATAAGATGTCCATGTGAAATGAACTTGGTAAGTTCCCATTAAGTTTGTTGTATAAGATGTCCATGTGAAAAAGGTTATAGGCCAATAAGAGTTAATGTATATAAAAGCTTTAAGAAAATAATTTGATATAGATAAGCCCATAAGCTGATTGTATTGGGACAAAACATTATAATTTGTCAGATCACTTATGAGACATAAAAATAATTTTTTAATTGTCCTTTGACAATTACTTATATGACAAAAATGGCACCTACGAATTCCTTTGTCGGATTACAGTTTCAACAACATACCGATAATAAAGAAAATTAAAAAGTATTATGATTACCTGTATAAAATACAAATTTAATAAAAACAGTATTAATCATTAAAAATTAAAGAAGAATAACATTACAATGGTAATAAATATTTTATAGATGCAAAGAGAAAATGAAGACAAAATTAGAAGAGAGAGGAGACATATTGTTTCAACTTGATAGAGTACTTCAAACGGGTGAATCATGATCTCCTTTCTTTAACCACCTTTCTATGTTACCATAAGTAGGAAATAATTTTTTCTTCATTAAATAGAGCAATAAAAAAGAGCCATATTAACGTACCCTTAGATTTGTAGTAGATAAGGCCTCTGTTATTTTGGATTAAAAATAAGGCATTAGATTTGTAATAGATAAGGCCTCTATTATTTTGGGTTAAAAATAAGGCATTCCAAGCTCTTGGTGTGGGAGAAGGGATTTAAGCTTTACCTAGTGAGTGATATTTAGTTGCAGGTCCTTATGTCTTCTTCCAAGTGACTGAAATCACCAAAAAAATCCATTTTTATTTAAATTTTGTAAACACAATTGCAAAATTTAGGTAAATACATGTATAAAAACAGAAAATTAGGTTAATCTTTCCAATTAGTTTGTGGTTCCGTTCATTTCCAGGCACCAAGAACATCAATATGGGGTTTCGTTCGTTTCCAATCTTCATTAAAAGAAAACATGAAAAATCGAAAACATTAGCCAATGGAAGTGGTTTTACCTCAGATTATGAGTCATGGTCAAGAATGCAAACCTTGGACATTGATTAAACAAAAATTAACATGTACTGACAAATTAAAATACAAAATGAAACAAACAAACATAAATCTTTGAAAATGTTGAAGTAGAATCTGACCTTTGAAAACATAATTTCTAAATATAACCTCTTTTTAGCCTTCATGATTCTTCAAAAACCCAAAAAACAGAAATCTTTCAAAAATAGAAATAGATATACAACAAGAAAGAATAGTAGGAGGTGGTTTTGATAACTTTTACCATGTGGAGGTTGTTACACAGATGAAGAAGTCACAAACAGGAGGTCGAAGGCCGTTTCAGATAACCAAATCGTAAAGAACAATCATTGGGAAAATAAGCCACTTCTCGATTCGTGAAATCCGAAATCAAATAGTTTTTGGAAACACACACAGATAAAGAGAGCTAGAAAGAGTAATCAGGGTGTTTTACCTCTTTTTAGTCGAGATAGAGTAGCAGGTGGTCCATTTGTACATTGGTGGTTCGGTGGTGGCAGGGATAAACGGTGGTGGTGAGTGGTGTTAGGGTTTTTTTATTACTGAG